ATTACATCGAATATTACCTACCTACTCGCTAAACATCAAAGAAACAAAGAAAGAAAAGTCTATAAATATCCAACTTTATGAAAAGTTTCCACTTTTATTGTAACAATTCAATTGGAATGCTAATAAAGGTCGCTCCTTCAGTGACCAATAAGTGCAGGAATGCAAGTTACACACAACTAAAAAAAGGGAAAGGACTTCGGCTTAGGCGGCTTCTTCGCACGTTTTGTTCGAACTCCCAAAGGACTTTATTTTTATTCTATTTCTGAACCACAAAGTTTTGAATAAGCTGGATCGCCGTGGCAACTTTCGGATAGCAATCCATCCCTTTGGAACCTTTTGAGGGGAGCAGCTGGCGCATCCTGCGACTCTGCTTTATTTTGCATTTGTATTTGTAGTTTGACAAAGGACCTCACGGCCACGCAACTGAAAAAATCTTGATGGCGGCATTGTGATTATGCAAATGAGGCAAGCGACAAGTGTGTTCAAAGGGATCATGTTTATTATTTATTTACTGCCTGTTGACAGTTTATCCAGCAGACTTTTGCTCGTATCTCGATTCCCTCGGTTCTCTATCGGATTGGCCAAAGATTTGTGTGACGTCAGTCGGGGGTGGCGGGGAGGATGGAAGGGATATATATTTTAGGACTGAGGCTTAAAGCTGCTTTGGCATAAACCGCCACTAATTGACAGTTCCATAACGCTCCGACGACTCGTTAAAGCCAAAGCTCGAGTGTTGCGCAAACAAATGTCCCAAAAGGCCACAAACTTTTTGGCCTTAGCTCAATTATTTGAGCCCGCTGCCAAATAGCGCGTCACCATTTATCAATCTCCTGTGGGGGTCCTCCTTCGAGGACTTCCTGGCGATTTCAATTAACAGGAAAATTTGCAACACAAAAAAAAGAGAGAAAAGGCCACCTCTAATCAATCATAAAGCGCCAAGAATCAGGGCGCGCTAAGGGCGAAAAAAAAGTGGCTCAAGGCTGGAGGTCGCCTTTCTTAAAAACTTTTCAACTTTGGCCCCCCCTCAGCATTTGTCACACTTAAAATTTATATATATTTCTATATAGTATCCTTCTTGGCCGAGCACGTTCCGGGCGTCATCTGCTCGATTCTTGTTTATTGGAGAATCGTGTGTGGTAGTTTAATTAAAACTGGCCATTGTCCTCTTTCTCGACTGACCTCTTGTCCCCGATTTCCCCCCACCTCGCCGAACAAAGTCCAGTCCCCTGCAGTTGCATTGTGGGCCGAGTATTAAGTGCCGCATTAGCAGGACCCCCAATGGTGTCCTTTCTTCGCTTACAACTGCAAAAAGTCAGCGGACATTAGTCGCGGACATCCCGCTGATCTCCTTGGCCAGGACATGCCTCCATCCACCTCTGGTTTCGATGTCTGTCTATTGTGTGGGAGTGACTGAATGGGAATGAGCCAGGGATGACTGTTTCTGATCTGGCCTGACAGTTGCAGTTGGTTGTCAAAGAAAAGGAAGCCTCTTGTAAATTCCTTTTATGAAAAAAGATTTAATATAGGAAGGCCAACTTTGTACAGTTTAAAAAGTTATATTAAACCAACTATTTAATCAAAATGGTGTCACTCAAAAGCTATTTTTGGGCCAAGCAAATAAAGTTTCTTGGGAAAATCACAAGTCTCTTCTTTTCTTGTAGTATTTCATATCATATTAACTATTTTCCTAATATTTTCTAGAGTATCTTAAGTCGCTTTTTTCTTTCCCTTTCAGGCCTGGCCCAGTGTGAAGCGTTCTTTTGAGATATTCCCCAACCCGGCGGTGCCACACAATGTGCACACGGTCTCAGGTAAGCTGCCACATACACACACACCCACACACACACACACATCTAAGGAAAAGGGAAACATCTCAGAGTCAAGTGCCCCTGGCTGGTCTAGCTGGAAAATGCACTTTGGCGGTAGCGACAAGTTTAAAGCGCTTTCTAAAACCTTGTTTACTTGTCTCTCAAATTGATTTTTGCATAAGTTGTGAGTGAAGATGCTGCTCGCTGAAACCCAATTTATACAACCTGGCAACACGAATTTATTGTTCCCATTAAAATTCAAATCAAAGTGCACTCCATCTAGCTCCCTCCTCCTCTCTATCCATCCATCAACCGACCCAAACTGACCAAATGGAAAATATAAAGATTACAAAATAAATCTGTGGTCACAACAACACAAAATTGTGATTCTGGCGAATGTAACTTAATAAATTCCAATGGCCAGCCAACTTCAATTGAGTTAATCCCTGAATTCAACCAAAAACCCATTCTACCCTCCATATTCATTTTCCCCAAGGGGAGGGAAAACTGGGGAAAGTCGTCAGAGCAACCGCATCTTTGGGTAAGAGATACGGGAAAGTTGCATCAGGTGAAACATCAACAAATCTGTGGCTATGCCAATTTATAATTGCTTTTATTTATAGTCAGGACAACAGCCTGGGAAAACTTGTGGACAGGCAATGGGTTTTCCGGGATGGGGTCAGCTCAATGACGTCACTTCCACAAATAGAAATACCGCTTTTGAGCGGAAAATGGAAAAGCACTCTAATCCGAGGGATTAATACAAAGGAGCTTATACTCGTATTGATAGATTGCAGCTATAGACAAAAGTATCTCGGGCCAATAACAAATTGAATACATAAATTTAAGGCTGCTCTTAATCTGTATAATGCACAAAAGGACTCAAGTATTTCCAACGAAACTGAATATTTTATGATTTTACTTTCTAACCGCCGCCGACACTCTGATTATGATTATTAAACCATAATGCCTAATCAATTATGAATAGTGCCATTTTAATTATCAGTCGCTAGTGTGTATGTTAAAAGCCCAAAAAATAACCACCACTGGAAAGCAATTAGCGAGTGTCATAAACAAATTGGCGCCAAGTGCCGCCAGGAGGAGTCAGGGGACCTCAAGGTCCTATCCCAGGACCAAAGCGAAACCAAATTCCCCCTTCAAGGGACACACGTTCGCAGACAAGTAAGAGTATGTGACATGCATGTCAAGAGCGTCACAAAAAGTAAGTCAAATAGTAGTTTAATTGTTTTTCCGCCCCCGAGACGAGGTCATAAAAAGCCACCGAAATCCAGAATTCATGTACGTATATATGAGTGGGTGACCCGGCTAATAATGTTGGCCATAAATCAGCCAACGATGGCCGGGCATTAAGTGGATGCGCATGATAAATTAATTGTTGCCAGGAGCCAAAAGCTAGAAACAATCAAAGGGGATTTCAATCGCTCACTCCCTTAAGCCCCTCTCTAACTGCTCATAGCTGATCCTTGCAACTCCCCTAAATTAGTCAAGACAAATTGGTTTCAGATTCGGTGGCTGTTGTTGAAGCTGTGGGGCATAAACTGCATTTAACACACAGGGAATAAATACTATACAATTAAGGATTTCAAGAACTTAACATACCTGTACTTAGTTTTTAATAATTTCATCTCAAGAGTAAATTATAATACTTTTCAGTAAATATATATTCCAGATAATCTCCCCCATTTTCCCCCAGTGCATTGCCATTAACTCACCACCCTCTTTTAACTTTATCCCCTTGCCTTAGATTGCATGCATGTGGCCTCCGAGGCAGGTGACTACATCTTCAAGAAACTCAATCCCCTAAGTTCGGCATTAAATCGGGAGACGGCTCTCCTGGAACTAGAGGCGGCAGGAGCTGGGGCAGGAGCTGGGGCAGGAACAGGAGCCGGGTTGCCCGGAGTGGTTCCAGGCGACAGAGCAGATGTCCAGGAAGTGGCAAGCCCCGAGGTATGTGGGCTTTATGTGATTGGTGAGCCAGACACGATTGTCGAGATTACAATGAAGCACTATGATGCGAACTGTGAGACAGGAGCCCTAATGGCGGTAAGTGCTAGGAAATGTCCTTTAAATTTTCGCATAGAATGTAACCGAGTTTGGTTGCTACAGTTTGTGGATGGCTGGGAGCTGAATGGCGAGTACTTTCCGGGCATAAAGGATCATCATCGTCCGCTGGAGGAGCGTGTTTATGAGTTTTGCAACAATTACAGACAATGGTGGGTGACAGGGAACTTCAGTTGCTTAATATATACATATATTTCTATTGGTATAATCCTGTAAATTTATGCAGGCCCCGGGTTAGCAATAAGAAGTTCTTCCGCTCCAGCCAGAATGCCGCCCTGCTTCAGTACAGGATTCCTACGCGAGGCTCCTTTGTGGCAAATGTGAGATTCCACAAGATCACACAGCGTAGGTTTACTAAGAATATTATTTATAGAAGTAAATCCTTGATGGTTTATCCTATTTCTTAGCCTGCAATGTATTGGTCCAGGATGTGGCTGCCATGTACAAGATGACCAACTTTGGCCAGGCTCGTAACTGCACCATCTCGGCGCTCTTTCCGGCTGTGGTCTCTCTGGCCAGTTTACGGATCGGTGGCAAAAGCGTCAGAGCCCAGCAAAAGGTCAACTATGATGTGGGTATTCCAAGGGATTCCTTTTCGCCTTAACTTAATAATCCTTTGCCCCAAAAATCAGTGTCAAATTCCCAGTGATCGCTTGGAGATTGGTGGATCCGCTGGCCTGGATTCCTTGGGTATGGATCAGGCGAGCGCCGTGTGTGGTGCCTCCAGTGAGCCGGGACCGGAGCAGGCCATCTTCTGTGGGGTGAGCACTGTGCGCCTGGTATCCTCCGGCCGTTATCAGAACCAGGCGGCTTTAGTCCTGCGAAAAGCCGATGTGCAGGACCTGGACATTGCCACGCTCATGTGTGCGCTCTAAGCGGCGAGCGGGACGCGGTCCAAGTGTGTAAATGTTTGTAAAAAAAAAGAATACAACAGAAGATATAGATTCCAGCAATGAATCGCCATCGTGCGGATGCGGAAGACACCTCTCCCGGACTCCATTGTAGTGCTTAAACTTAACTCTTAACTTAATCCAGCTAATTCACAAAGTATTCGCTACCCGAGAGGCATCTTAGGTAATATATATATATATACATGTATATCGAACATTCTGAGTGTTGACTACAAGAATCGAGTGTGTTTATTGTTCTTCGGGTTTATCATCTATATCTCTCTTTCTATATATCTCCGGGCTAAGTTGTTTTATTACTCGTTTTATGGCTTCATCGTGGTGCGATTATCGCCAACGATTATGGAAGCTATGTATAGCTCAACGATAAGTTTCAGTTGAGGATTGCGGATGCAGTCAGCAAGGCCAATAGAGAGGCCAGGCTGAAGGCCTTTAGACCAGAGGCACCGCCTCCTTGGTCATCAACATCGGTGTTATCCTCCTTTTCCAGCTAAAATTAAGAGAAAATACAATCAAGATAAGTATTTATAAGAAGTATCTCTGAGATACTTACACTCTCCGCCAGGATGGCCTGCAGCTCCTTGCAGCGTGTGCGCTCCTGGTAATTGCTGGTGGCTATCCTACAGATGGTCTTACTCAGACAGGTGTTATCGCAGCCCTCGGCTATCTTGGGATCAGAACTGGTAAACTTATACCGCCGGAATTTACGCAAAAGATCGGGTTTCTCGGCCATTTGCACCAGCAGCTTGTCAATCCCAGCAGGACTTGTATCCTCTGTAAACTCCTTGGTGAACTCGTACTCCAGATACCACTCCGGCTGCTCATCCGGTTTCTGATTGGCTGCAGTCAGGTTGAAGATATACGTGTGATGCTCCACCACCTGCCTCCTCTTTGGATCGAGCTCATACAGCCTGTAGTTGGGGTTCGTATCCGAATAGGAGGTCAAGCTTCCGCCATTCCAATTCACCACCGTGGCAAAGCCCTCCTCCGAGTAATGCAGATTCATCTCATCCTTGTGGGTGTGTCCACTAAAAACGCCAGTCACAATGCCACTGAACCTGGTCAGAATTCGATTGTACTCCTTTGCCCAGCTGCTCCAGCAATCACCATCGCCGGCGGGTATGTGTGTCAGGACATGGACCACTTGACCAGACTGCTCTGCAAGGAGTAAGGTGTCATGGAACCACTGCAGCTGCTCCTGGATCAGTGTGGCATTGTAGTAAAGCCACCAGTTGTACAGGTAGCAATCCATGCTGTTCAAAGCTATGACCCGGAAGTCTTGGCTAATTGGAACGGTATAGTAACCACCACGAAGGACAGTGGCTTCCGCCTCGGCAGGCAACCACTTGGACCACAAGCTCCACACGTGCTCATAAAGCCACTTGACACTCAGGGCGGTGGGTATTTCATCATTGCCAAAACTAGAGGATATTGAAGAGAAAAGGATAATTATTAAGTAAATATTTTATTCAGATATAAATATGTTTAACGGAAATGTGGGAAGTACGCCTTAAATATCAGAAGGCATTAAAGTATATTTATGTGCTCCAAAAGACCTTTAAATATCAGTAGTTAGTGGCCACTAAATCGATTGCTTTATCAGTAGATTAGTGTAGGTAAAAGGTTATATCTTTATATAAAGTTCTCCCAATTAACAGTAGGAATTGGTAGCTATAAGGCTGTTTATGGCATTGCTGTTTTGGGGGTACTATTGTGGGAAAAATCACCATAAACTTTATGTTGATGGGAAATTTAGAGCTTTATGTTTGTTAAACACTTTAAGATATTTGACAGATTCGGGAGAGTTCACATAATGAATAAATACTACATTTCTGCATATCTGAACTACAATACTTAACCAATGATTATTTAAATACGTAATTTTTCTTTCTTTATTTTTCTTTTCTTAAAAATTTATGTTAAATGTTATAGATTTTGTCTACTATTTTCCTACCATTCTTGACCTTATTGTTCTTATATTTTAGGACTAAAATACTGCTTGCTCTATACTACCTCCTTTCTGCCAAGTTAAATTACTAAGAATTACTTCGAAAACCACTCTTTCACCCCAGCAATTTCTAGACCAAATTTCTTTTACCAAAACTCAACCTAATTCGGGACACACTTTGAACTCTGGCCATTCTGGGTCATTCATTACCTTAATAATACATCTACCAAGGGTGTGCAAATTACGGGTACTCACACGTTCGTGGGATGTGGCTCGTGGTTGCCCAAACAGGGGTAGATGGGCGTGTTTGGGAAGTACTCTGCCAGAAGTCCATCGATTTCGGTCAACATATCCAAGTTGCCCTGCTTGGTGGTGGACCAAACATTATGGGGCGGCACATCGCCAGTGTGATAGATCCACTCAATCTTATGGTTATCCTTGACATGCTGGAAGGCACTATGGATGAGGTGAATGGGTGTATCGCAGGAGCGATAATCAGACCAGTAACCAGCTGCGGATGAGGTATCCGCACCCGAGGCCAAAGCAGTTCGGCAGCACATGGGTTCATCGCAATCGGCATTGCTGCCGACGGCATACTCGGGATCATAGTGGATGTCGGTAAATTGAAGGATCAGCAGATCATCCGAACTGCGAGCGGGTAACTCCGAATTGTGCTCCGTGGGGGAATCCCCCTGAATGGTCATTGTAAGATTATACTCATCCTGCTTCACCTGACAAATGGCAATGGGCAGCATGCCGCAGAAGGATTGCGAATCAGCGGCAGTCTCATTAAAGATGAAATCAAAGATGGGCCAATTCAAATCGAAGAGACCCGAGCAAACTTCCTGGGTGGAAATGCCAAAGTAATCGCAGATGCCCAGGCTCAGCTTCTTGACCTCCGCCTCACGCTGCGGACCACTCAGTTCACCCTCGGTGAAGGTTCGTACAAAGACATTGATTGTGGATCGACACATGGTGCACACAAAGAACTGATCGGCAGACTTCAGATCAGCCATGGACTCAGTGAAGATGTCCTTTCGACTGTGACTGTTCCGCAGATCGTATCCTATTTCCTTTAGCCGATCCGTCTGGATTCCCGTGTGGTGGTACTTCAGGTAATCACGGCTTATCTCCTCAGCCACGGTAACTGCCAAATATTAAAATAAAAACCAATAACGGATGTCAGTCAATTAAAGCTGTCAGGTTGGAGTTATCTCTGTGACAAATCCAAACAATTTTGCCTTAGCGACTAGTGACCATTCACATATTGATAGGGATTTTAATTCATAATAATAGAACTTTAACCCACACTGACTTGGCATTATCCTCCAATAGATTGGACACCTTTACTCACTTGATTGCAATGCGGCCAGACGCTCCTCCTTGGTCAAGGTATCCGGAACATTTGGCAGGCTGAAGGCTCCGCAGCCTACCAGCAGGAGAGCGATTCCCCAAAGAGTTGTACTCCAGATCAACTTCATGACGGAACTGTGCCCAGGACAGAAATCGAACCTCTACTTATAGCCTTCTTAATGGCTAATATCGCTATCAGCATAGGTTGCTTATCGGATTATAGAGATATCGCCCCAAACTTAATGCCAGCGGTCATCAGCCCATAATAATTTCGGATCAGGGATAGATTTTCAGACATGGCTAATCGGTTAAGGGTGATTTTTATTGGGGTACCTTTGAAAATAAGATTTGGGAAAATGAAAAGGGGCCTAAATATAAACCTTCTAGGTTATTCGAGATCTTGACCCTCCAGAAAAAAAAAACCAAGAACAAAAGAACTAGCTCGTTATTTTTATATAGGAAATATCAATCACTCCTATTGCCGACTCTTTTCTAGAATCAAATTCCAAGAAATCGAAGAAAACAAATAACTTGTTGACTTTATAATTTGTTTTTACTGCAAAAATTCCCATAAAATCATTGGTTTTATGGCATCCAAAGGTATTTAATAAATCTAAAGCCAGCATTATTCTTACTGATGATAAAAAAAAGTCAATAGTTATTCAATGAGTCACCATATACTTCACAATTCTATGAAATTAAAAAAACATATAAACTATTTTTTGCACGTGCTACCTTCTATCGATACCTTTAACATCATCATGATCATCATCACCATTGCCATGACCATAAACTATAGCTTGTTTTATGGCCAACACCAACCAATTGGCTAATTTGCGCTAATCGACATTAGCCGATAATACAATCACATGGAACACAAAGTCTATATATCACGAGATAGCACCCCGAAAATAATATACACAAGATTAACTTCGATAGGGATAAGCACATACTTCTATTAGCCACTTGAGAGTGGCTACCTTCTCGGAATGGAATCCATTCCCATTATATAACTTAGGGTGTACAATTAGTAGCTAAGACGAATGGCCAGGACCAAGGCCAGCAGTGAGCTGATGCTGAGCAGGCTCAGGGTGGCAGATCCTCCATCATCGTTATCATCATCGCCACCATCTGGGGGATCTGTGGTAGGATCTTCGTTATCCAGCTGGTAAATGATTTTAAATATATATTAATTTTGTAATTTTTTCGGGAGGATATCTAATGGTAACTTACAGCATGGAACAGCTTCTCACGAAGCTCCTCACAGCGTCCTCGCTGGTTGTTGATGGTGACAGCAGCCCGACAAAGAGATCCTGCCAAGCAGTTGCGATCGCATCCTCCATTAATTTGAGGATCGGCAGAGGTCACACGGTAGCGCCAGTACTGTTGGAAAAATAAGATATTTAAATTGGTATTTCTTCTTATCTTATCTAAGTATTTTTAGCAACTAATATTTCTATATCAAGTGGTTAATACTAAAGATTTATACTTATTATTTTCTGATTAAATAGTTTGAAATTAAAAGGAGCAAGCAAAACATTAAAAATATGGACGGGTTTCGGACTAGGATTCTTTAAAATAAATTCCTAAATATATCTTTCAACTTACCTTCCTCATCAAAGTGGGATTCTCGGCCAACTGGTCCAACAGCTTGTCAATACCAGCAGGGCTCGTATCCTCGGTAAACTCCTTGATGAACTCATACTCCAGGAACCACTCTGGCTGCTCATCCGGCTTCTCATTAGCCGCAGTCAGATTGAATATCCATGTCCAATGGTTGGTCACTTGGTAGGTAGTGGGATCCACAGCATACTGCCTGTAATCGGGGTTCTTGTTGGAGTAGGTAGTGACGGCACCACCATTCCAGGCCACAGCGGTGGCATGACCCTCCTCCTCCGAGTAGTAAACGAAGAGCTCGTCCTTGTGCGAATGACCGGTGAAGATGCCGCTGATGGTGCTGCTAAAGCGAGTGATGCAACGATTGAACTCACGAGCCCACACGGACCAGCATGTTCCATCACCGGACGGGATGTGGGTCAGGATGTGCACATACTCGCCGGCCTTCTCGGCGGCCAGTAGAGTGTCATGGAACCACTGCAGCTGTGGGATCTTGTCCGAGCCGCTGTTATAAAGCCAGAAGTTGTCCGTGTAGCAATCATTACTGTTCAGCGCAATGACACGGAAGCCCTTGCGGGGCGACACCGTATAGTAGCCACCCTTAAGGATCGTCTCCTTGGTCTCTGCCGGCAGCCACTTGGACCAATCGTTGTACAGATGCTCGTACAGCCACTTGGTGCTGATCTCATTGGGAACGCCCTCGGGACTGAAGCTGGAAGGCAAGAATGTAAGGATATTAAATTTCTTCGAAATGTTTAGAGCTCCTTCGATGACACTTACAGGTTCAGGGGATGGGGCTCATGGTTTCCAATGCAAGGATAGACAGGAACATCACCAAACGCCTCTTTGAGACGCTGGCTCACCTTGGTCAGCACACCGGTGTTCTTCTCCACGGATGTGGCCCACACCATGTGATCCACAATGTCTCCGGTCTGGTAGACAATGTCGCATTTCGTATTGATCAGCGCGCTTTCCAGAGCCGACTCGAAAGTGTGCCAAGGCAAATCGCAGTCCCGGTAATCACCCCAAGCGCCAGCCGCCTCGCTAGTCCCCTCGGCAGTGTCCTTATGCCGTTGGCAGCACATGGGCTCCGCACAGGAGGCAAGACTTCCCTTCTGGTACAAAGGATCATGATGGATATCGCTTACGTGGCAGATTCGCAAATCGGATTCGCTGAAGCGAGGAGTGTCCGCCTTGGGACCGGTCAATGGCACGCCAGTGCTGTCAATGGACAAGGTCCAGTTGTAGTCGGGATTGGTTCCCGTGTTGCAGAAGTTGTACTCCATGAAGAGGGAGCAGAAGCTCTGGGAGTCGCTCTCCGAGTTACGCAGAATATACTCCACGGTGGGCGTGTTGAAATCTATCAAACCCTCGCAAACCTCCTCCGTCTGAAGGTTCATCCGGCGACAGAAATCCATGGCGAACTGCTTCATTAGCGCCGTGCTTCCGTCGCCATGCAGTTCCCCATCCTCTTCACGAATAGTCCGGATGAAGACCCGCATCACCGAGCGACAGGCTGTGCACACAAAGAAGCTATCCCTGGGCTCCAAATCAATCATGTTCTTGGTGAAGATATCCTTTTGGCTGTGCGACTTGGCCAACTGCTTGGTCAGCCTCTGGAACTCCGGCGTCTCCACTCCCGTCTTCAGGAAGGTCACATATTCGTTGGCCAGGCGTTCGGCTATGTCGTCCGAAATAGCGGAGAGCACATGATCATCCACCTCAAAGTCCACCGGCACTCCGGGCAGATTAACGGCCGAGGCGGTGGCCAGGACGACCGCTAACAGGAGCACGATTCCCTTCATGGTTTGCAGGGCAACTGGAGCTTATCCGCGCCAGGTGGGGCCACTTATAGCCTAAGCTTATCTAGCCACCAGCTGGTCGAATCCATTGACAAGAGCAGTAAAACCCATTTAGCGAAAGATTAGCCTAATCTTGTGGATTGCAATTCGGGTGGAACTATTATTTTCGGCTCAAGAGGTGGCCATAATCTGCCTCCGGTGGGGCAGATTGCAGCTCTTGGAATAGTACATCGTAAAAGCCAAAAGTTTGGCGACTCAGCACTACTTGGCAAGCCTCTGGATCGAAATTCGTAAGGGTTCCAATAAAATTCTCGGTGATTTTTGAGATTTATTTGCTCTCGGAACAAAAATCGGGGAAGGTCAAACATTTTAGAAATAAATAACCTTATCACAGCTTTATCATTATTCGCTAATTTAGGTATGCAAAGATTAAAGCACTTAACACACTTAATCTAAAATATAATACACCTCTTGAATAACTTTTATTGTTCTTTTGTTTTACCTTTTGTGGAACTCAGAGAGGCATTTTTGCAAGTATGCCGATTGATTTGTTCTTTATTGAAGTCGAAATAAAACAGATATTTGGTTAAAATTGTATGGTAATCTTTCAAGGCTTCTATTATAATATAATTATTAATTTTATTAATTTATTATAAGAATAAAGATTTATTTAAAGTTTTAAAATAATTCTTTATTTCTTACATATTTGAACGTTTGAATTTGAATTGGCGCTAATGTTGGCGTTCGATAACAGCATCGAAATCTCATGAGATCTGGCAACGCTATTTCAGTCACATTCTATCAATTGTTTTTGTTGTTCTTGCTCCCTTTAGTGTGACCATTTATAGTACAGAAAAAAATCCTTCCGCTTTATGAAGAATGTTTACACCAAATTTGAAATTTGGCGGCGGGCACACTACCGTCTATTTGCATTTATTATTAAAAAAAAATAAGAATCAGCAGTACCGAGTGTTAAGTGCCAGCCGAAGTCCAGGACAGCAGGACCCGGATTGAGGCAGATTAGGTAGCAGCGGCGGCAGAGCACATCAAGGGTACTGGTACGGCGTCAGGATAATCCCCGTTGAGCCTAGGGCAGCAGCAGCAGCAGCTGAAACGCAACAACAAAAGACTCACTCGCCAGTGACGCCATTTTCTGTGCGAATAAAGAGCAGGTGGGGCAACGGCATAAAACAGATACGAGAAACAGGAAGAGGAGGCGGAGACAATAGAGACTCAGCGAGAGAACACGGAAGCGTGTGTGGAGCGAGTTAGACCGCGAGGATGAGCAGCCTGATCAACTTCCTGAACCCCAAGCTCAAGCCCTCCGTGGAGAGTGACGCCATTTGCGAGGATGGCTTCACCGCGGCCAATCTCATTGCCGACGATGCCGAGCAGCTGGAGCGGGGCTTCATGTGCTTCACCGTCTGCAAGCCGCCCGTTGAGATCGTTTTCGACTTCCCCAAGGCCGTCGACATGAAGGTCATCAAGCTCTGGCCCTCCAGCGGTGCCCTGCGCTCCACGGCCTTCGAGCTGCACGGTCGGCATGATGGCATCTGGGAGCGCGTGGCTTTCGTGCGGGACCTGGGACGTGGCGTTGACTCGGTGACCTTCTGCTACCAGAGCGACTACAATTCGCGAAGCAGCTCCAATGCCGCCGCTGCCTCGGGGCAACCGCAGAGCGAGAAGGTTTTCTTCTTTAAATCTGCTCACAAGATCCTAGCCAGCACCAACAGTGTCAAGGTGGTCATTCGGGCCACCGAACGCTGTCCTCCGATTCTGCGCAAGGTACAAATGTGGGGCTTGCCTGCCCGCTCGTTGGACAAGGCGGACAGGGAGCTGGTGAAGAGCATCTGGAGCGAGATTAGCGATCCCTACGGCCAACGTGATGCCTCACAGGGAAATACTGGACAGCGTTCGCCCCCCCGACACGTCCCCGAGCTGAGGGAGCAGTCTTCGTTATCCATACCGGAGGAATTCCTAGACTCCATTACCTGGGAGCTAATGGTAAAGAGGAACAGAGGAATATTTCTTCAATGATTAACCACCTTCCTTTTAGATATTCCCCACCGTATTGCCCTCCGGCAAGGTGGTGGACCAGTCCACCATCGACAAGCACGCCGAAGAGGAGGCCAAGTGGGGCCGCCAGCCATCGGATCCTTTTACTGGCCTCGAGTACAATGCCCAGCGCAAGGCTATTCTTAACTTGGCGCTGAAGGCACGCATCGAAAAGTTCCTCATGGAGCACTCTGAGCACTTTAAGGCGGTGCCGCGTTCCCTGGGTTCTTCCCGTCTGCGTCGCCGCCATGCCTCGCAGTTCGCCAGCAGCATGTGTCAGCCAGGCCAGATTAGTCCGGCAGCTGGCACATACTCGGCACTGAGCAGTGCCTACAAGCAGCAGCAGCGTAAGAGCCGGGCCACTGCCACAGCCACTTCCTCATCGGCTGCTCTCAGTGGATCACCGCATTCGCCGCCGGCGGCCAAAAGGGCAAGGCACAGCAACAATGGCACTACGGCCTGTGCCACAGTGACGGCCAGCAGCGCATCTACCTCGACCTCAACATCATCATCCTCCATAGACCAGGCTATCCAGCAGGCCCTGCAGAAGGTTACGCGCTTTAGCCAGGTGGCAGTGGCCACCTCTAGCTCCAGTTTGGCTTCCTCAGCAGCACCGGCCAACTGCATCAACTGTCGTAGCGCCCAGTTTGGCTATGAGATCCGCACCTGCCGTCACCTGGTCTGTCGGGAGTGTCTGGTCCTGCTATCGCGCGATCAAGTGTGCGTCTGCAAGGTCTCCTTCCGTGGCGCCGATGTGGAGCGGTACCATAAGCTGGATCCTTAAGGCATTGCCGGCCGCCCTTTTCATGATCGGCCCGCCCGATCGCTGCAATAAGCTCGGTTCGCTCCTTTTGTTCAGTTTGTAAGCCAGTCAATCGCTTTAGCCCCTAGGCCTCGTCTACATCTACTTTAGCTTATAGTCATATCAGGAGTCGGTCTGAGTCTGGAGTCGTCGCTGAAGAAGAAGCCAAATGTGTACACGCGAGTCGTTCCCGATGATTCGGAAGTATGTATCAGTATCAGGTCACGTTTAGTCATAGAGAACAGATTACGATTAGCATATAGAGATGAGTCCGCGCGCATAGTTTTTGTAGACACTTTATATACACATAAGTTCCCGAGAGATGGGATCGTACAGCGCGAGTTTATATATATATTCATACCAATTATGCATAGAATAAAGAACAACTACAAATATAAGTCCCTATTTCTTCATTATATATGCAGTTTAAGTTTTCCTTACTCTGATTCCAAATTATATATTCGTTTTATGCTTAATTTTGAAGCTATATTGTCTTTAAAAATTGTTACTTTAAGTTTGGATATTTTCTTTTTCGTCCATTTAACTAATGTACGATTTATTTCATTAGCTATAAATAAAAACTAAACAAAATTTACAACAAAAATCCAGGAAAATATTTTATTTATTTTTCTTAAGGGAGATCTTGAAATTAATACAAAAACTATGTATATATTTTATGATGTCTCCATTTATTGTTATTTACTCCTGGATAAATCCAGATGAAGTCCCTCTTTAGGTGGTTTTAGGGAGAATCATATTTCCTGGCTATAAGCTGTTTATTTTAGGACGTTTCCTTTTCTTGTGCTCCTGCTGGAAATTACCACACGGCATCTCCTTCAGCTCGCTTGAACACAAACTCCTTGCCGTGAATCTTCATCATGCCATCGCGAAAAATGAACTTCCACTTGTTGCGAGAGCGGCTGACCACATCATACTGACAAGCCACCAAGTTCTCGGTCTCGAACTTCTCGTCGATTTCTTCATCATCGGTTAGATCATCGCCGCTATTGAGTGGTTCCTCCTTGACGTCTACTAACTCTTCCTCCGAGTTCTCTACCTCCTCCACAGGCTCGTCCTCATCATCATCACCACCACCATTATTATAATCAATATCGTTGCCATCAGTTTCTTCATCGGATTCGTCGAGTGTCCCGTCCAATTGATTGGCCGTGCCTAGGGTATCATAAAACTCCTGTTTGACGGTAACGTAAGACACACTGCTGGACGTGCAGGGCTCTTGGCCTGAGTCCTTTTCAGTATCCTGGGATGGCGGATTTGCCGGTGACAAGTCGATGGTCTTGCTGCTCATCATCTTGGAGCGCCACATGTGCAACATGCGCTGCAGTGCCTGCTCACCGACGCCATCATCCAGAAAGGCTTGACGCATATTGTTGACTACGTCCTCGATTACGCGTTGGCAAAATCTGGGAACTACAGCCTGGGCCTTGGGGACTTTGATCTTTTTTTCTTCATAGACATCTTGGTTCTTGGGAGTTTCGGTTTCTTGAATTAGAATGATAAAATAAAATTAAATTAAGGTTTTTTTTAGTTTAAAGAAAAAGAATGATTTTTTTACGAAAGTACCTGATTTTTTACCAATTTCCTAGTCTGATGTTTTCAGGTCGAGCAATCAACGATGAATAAAATTTTTATGAACTTTTCTGTCATAGGTAGTATAAATAAAAGCAAGGATTACTAGATTTTGTCATTTAAATAAGACATTTTTACTTGCCTAACTCTATTTAAATTTTTGGCTATAAAAGCTCTTCGAAATTTACGACGTTATAAATTCTATAAATTTGTTATTGCAATGTCCTATTTATATGCTACTTGCTAATTTTTACTACGTAAAAGCACTTGTTAAAAATAAAATATTTTATACCTATTAATTCAAATTTCGTGGCGCCCTCTGCCGACTTTAAGTGGCACAGTACAAAGTGGCAGCCTTGTTCTCCGCCCAGTCTGGTAACACTTCTGCACTTTTCCTGAAATGTAAACATTTCGAAATTCTCCACAATTTTTGACTTTTTTCGGGCTTACCATGTCTGGAGATATGCATGCGACTCCCCAATCTGGCCGCAGACCCCGGCTGGGACTGGGAAGACGAAACTGTCATTCAACTCCTCTCACGCGGCTCCAGGGAGAGGAATCATCAGTAAAGACACCCAAAGGTGAAGGCCTGGATACCCCGCGAACATTTCCGCTGTCCTTGAGCGCCCGCAGGATAGGTTTGTCCAAAAACAGAACGGAATTAACCAAGAAGAAGTTGGAGTTTGCTGTCGCCCAGGAAATCAAGGAGAATGAGCCTTCGAGTAGTCAAGAAAAGGCGAAGAAAGCGAAGGAGCCCAAGAAAAGGCAGCGCAGCGAAGAATGCAATAAGCCAGAGGACGAAAAAGGCAAGCAGGAACGGGCGCCATCCAAGAATCTGGACCAGGAACTGCCCTGCAAGCCACAGGAACAGGACTCTTCAAAGAACAGGGACCCGACTCCGCCGAAGAGCAGCAAAATACTGGAACTACAGGGCGACATTGAAACCTGGCGCAAGGGATTCATCGCATCCATGGACGATTTACAAGCCATGGCAGAGCCTGGTCTAACGAAAAGGGAACTCCTCACCCAACTGGGCATTCCCCTCGAGATGCTGCGCTACCTGGAGGAGGATTAAAATAAGCATAGACTATAAAATGTAAAATAAAGAAACTGTATTCACTTCATACCGAGGCGGAAAATAGAAAACAAACTTAAACACAAACTAGTACTTGTGCGGCCGCACAGGTCGCTCCGGGTCAAAGAGCTTGGGGTCCGCCAGGAAGTCAAGGTCCTTGTGATAGCCCGGCATCAGCAAGCACTGCTGGGCGCGCAGTATGGCCTGTTCCACCTGCTCCTGGCGGCGCTTGCATAATCCGGTAATGTGCCGGCCATAAATGCGACCAGTATACGGCGACTGGAACTGCGACAGCAACTTTACGTTCTTATAATAAGGCTCAATGTCATGCTTGCACAGGATGCACTGCTGCGGGTCCTTTTCATAAGGATTCGTTATGTCAATGGGCAGGTCGGAGCTGTCGGCATTCTGCGACGGCTGAGAGTAAAAGCGACTGCTGGCTGCCAGCTGTTGCCTGGCCACTGCCACTGAAAGAATGTACTCTTAGCCAACTGATATTTGTTGAATAAATTATTAAACTTACCATTTTGTGTTATAAATTTACCAATTTTAAGCATTTTTTTATGAAATTTCACACAGAAAAAGAATAACAGACTGTCAGTGTTGGTAAATGCGATACGGAAACATGTGTTGGCCTATCAATATACATCGATAACGGAGATTCAACCATCTGGCACCAGTGTTATATCGATAGCTCGGTTCCATAAACACATTAATTTGTTAAAATTTGTATTTACTTTCATTTGCAAGCATGGCGCCTGTTCGTGGCTCACAATCAAAAGGAAAACCTGGAGGGAAACGAGCTAAAGGTCCTGGCAAGGTTACACACAAACAGAAACCCGGTTTCAAAAGCAAAAACCAGACAAAACCCAAGGCAGTAAGTAGAAGAGCCTCCAAGAGATCACTTTATACAAATTCCCTAATATTTTAGAATAAACCCAACAAACCCGAGATCAGGAGAAATAAGCGAAATGAAAAGATTGCCCAGGAGAAAGCGGAGCAGGAGAAGGTGCGGGCGGAACGCGATGCCCGTATAAAGGCCTACAAAAAGCAACGTTTGGAGAAGACCAAGGCCATTAGTAAGAAAACTCAGCGTGGACAACCGCTGATGAAGGATCGAATGCAGCTCCTACTAAAGCAAATCGAGGAGATGAAACGTCGCTAAATGAGTTGCATTGAGGTATTTCTCGATCTTAAAATTTGTACCTCCAGAGGCTACTGTCTGCAGTGCCTCTTATATGTTTGAAGTGTCCCATAATTCTTTGTTTCAAATCAATCTATTATTATTATGGATTATACCTTGCATCAAGGTTACCTAAATATATAAAGAATTAAGAACACAAAAGCACTTTCTTTTATCTCTAGAAGGGACAAGTTTTGAAACTATTGTACTATTACATTGAATATTAACTCGAATTATTTTTACTATCTCTGAAGGCACGTTGCTATTAAGAAAATGTTCCTTGCACGATATTATAATTACATTTTAATTAGAAGGTCATTTTCGACCCTATATATATATTTTCATATATTTGATCAGCATCAGCATAGAAAAAATAATTACACATCGTTTCAAAATTTAAAAATCCTACCCTAAGTTAACTTCCTTTTTGTACCCTCGCAGTGTACTTCAATTTTAGTCAGAAGCTTGAAATGCATTGAAGGACTCATTTCCGACCCTATAAATTATATATATTCTTGATCAGCATAAAAAAGCTGAGTCGATCTAACCATATCCGATCGAAAAATACATTTTCAAATTTTTTCACAATTTTATAAGCGGTTACAAGGCTAAAATTTCCAACAAAAAATGTACAAAAATTTTAATATTTTTAAATTTTAAGTTGAGTATGCAGATTTGTTAATCTACTAAAAAAAACATAGGAACACTTTCCAAATTAAAATGTATGCTTTTTTGGCTAAGTTATGAGTTTTTAAAACTTCGATTTGTGGAAAAATTGTCATATAAAAATATCAATAAATATAAGTTCTATGAATGCGAATATTTTGAGTTCAGTTAAGCTCGATTTCCAAATTTGATCTAATAAATCTATAGCAAACTATATACAAAATTCGGTTTCCTGAAATTAGATTCCTTTCTTGATTGTTATCATGTTAATCAAACTATATATCCAAGAATAAATATATCTTTATTATATTTAAATCAAAAATAGGATGCTAATTGCTATACCTTTGCAGTGAAAATAGATCATAACTAAGTCAAAAATTTATTAATTTTCATTCGGAAAACTTTCCTATGTTAGTTTTTATTAGATTAAGAAATCTGAATACTCAATTTAAAATTTTAAAAGATAGATCGATTTGGGAGTCAATTATGATCAGGATTATATTTGATATATAGGGTCAGAAACGACTCCTTCACTAAGTTGCATGCTTTTGACTGAAATAACACCCTTCAAGGACATAAAAATGAAAAGGGAAACAAGTAAGGATTCCTTTATCTATGAATGTGTGTTATTAGTACCTAGCTATAAATTGAATGGTTCTGATACTTCTCCTGGATTTCGCGCATATCCTGGGAGATTGGAAATATTTAGTTTTCCGCTCACGCTCCCCGCACGAAAATTAAATCTAATGCAACCTGTAATAAATTCGCTTGTCGCGAGCTTCCGGCCGTGCGAATCAACCCCTTTACTTTTTTCTTCCTATGCAAATTTACGCGGCAAATTGCCAGAGCGCCAGGCGGCATCCTTATCATCCTGCATCCTGCATCCTGGTAGCTGTACCTGCAGGAGTCACCCTCATAGATCCTCGTGACTCCCCTAGCGATTTAGCGCGAACAAAGCAATTTGCTTGGCAGACAGGCAGGCGCGCGATTCAATTTTCACCAAAATATTCGCAATAATAGTAAAGTTTTATGCTCATTCCGGTGGCACAACATCCGCTTCCGTATCCACACCACCAAGGATCTCCAACCCCTTTGGTTTTTCTTTCTTTTTTTTTTTTTTGAGTGACAATCAGCATGCGGTCTCATATCCGCTGAGAATGTATCAAGGGGGAGAAAGGCAAACAAAACTTTCACTTGTGCGATATTGCGAAACTATTGGACCGCCCGCCTCCTCCCCGCTTAACCCGCTGCGCAACCCGTTGACACAAATCGCACTAAATCAAAAATTATACTTTACACAAATAAAACGAAGGAGCGAAGGACGATGCCGGGCAGGAAGTCGCTTGGCAATGCCGATGGCCCTGTGGCCATAAATCTCATCTAGTCAAATATTGAATTACGCCGGATGAAGTCCGGGAAAGGGTTCTCCTTCGATTCGCAGATCCAATTTAGTGGGTCAAAAAGGATGATGTCCTTCCACCCCTCCATAGTAGTAGTGTGTGACATCGCTTTGTTCTGTTTATTTAATAAAAAATTTGAAGTTATGAGTGCTCTCGAGGGTCGTTTATGTGTCGATAATGAATAGTTATGGCCGCCGCCGATGCCACTCCGAGGGCTGTCATCCCATCCGATGCGATTGTTAATGCTTTGTTTGGGTCGCTTATAATGCAATTTATGCATGTTTAGAGTGGGGTGACAATGGGTTAAGGATGGCGCTTCAGCTGTTTTTCGCTCTTTTCACACATCATTTTCACTTTCATTGATGAAAACGAATCTGAAAGCAGCTGCCAATTCGTTATTCTTATTTAAATTTGTATATATGGTTTCAGTTGTTTAAACAATATTTAAAATTCAATTACTTTTGTTTTGTGAATATAAAATGAAACCCACAAAATTGGAGACTGAATTGTTCATAAATAAATATTTATTCAAGACCTATTGTGTAATATTTTATAATCTTTCAAAAGTCACTACAGAGAACTCTTATTAATACTTCATAATTTTGTATCAAATGTAAGCAATCGAATAGATTACTTCCTTTAAAAATTTGTATTTAAATCCTATGTTTTGTATACTCTTCTACGAATTTATTTTTAGATTAGCACAAAAAATATTAATTAATTGAGAGAGAGATTCAGCATTTTTGGGCTTTTCCTGGGATTCACTGTGGGATTCACAAGCACGCCGGCGGTAAAACCAAGTTGATAACAGCTGCCAAGTGATTTCATTTAAATTCAGAGTCATCCCACTAAGATTAACAGTCGTCGTTCATCTCCAAGCTTAATAACAAGACTTTAATTCCTATTAATATGAAATATTTTAAATTATGTTGGACCCTGGTCATTATACTCTTAATTTGCTCGGAAGATATCTTGGCGGCTCCCAAGCGAAAGTCGAAGCCAAAATTTGGAATAAAGCTGCCAAAAGTCAACATCAATATTCATCACAATAGTAAGTCTTGAACTTTTATTTTTTTTTATATAAACAAAGATTTATTTATTTGCCTTTTCTTTAGATATCCACATTGGATAAAGTTAGATTCCATGGACATAATTATAGTATATATTGTTAAATAAATTAAAGCCAGTTAAGTGCAAAATATGTAACTTCCGACGTGCATGGACAAAGACGTTCAATTATTATTTACTATATAAGTAAAAAGTATTGAAATTAGTTTATAAAATAGCCAAAAGTGCAAAACCAATACTTATTTAAAAATTATTTTTTATGTTTTAATTTGTGATTCAGCTGAAATAATTTTATTTTCTATTATACTGCAAAGTGATTGTAAATTGTTGTTAAAATCAGTAAAAGAATGTTCAATTGTTTTTCGCTGAAAACAAGTTTTGTTATTGTTAAAAAGTGTAAAATATGAATGATTCAAAAATCCCCGTATGATCACAAGTCTAAGCAAACTGAATTAGTGCAAATTAAATAGATTGCTTCAAATTTGTTTGTATTATTTGTCATGGTGATAAGACTAATGAAAACATATTATTTTGTTTATATTGCCTGGCTTCTGGAACCATATACTTTTGTTTATATGTCTTGATTGGACAGCTATATAAATACATTTTAAATAATTGTGTAAGATTTAATTGATTACCTCCTCCTAAGACCTTTGCTTGCAATTCATATGTTAAAATTGAGATCTTTTCTCGAATCTGTTTAAATTCTTCTAGTACATTTCTTAATTCCGAAATTCAAAGATTTTGAACGCTAAAAAAAGGCAGCAATCAACCCTTCTTCTCACCCTGTAAAGGACATGCAAAACTTTTGCATAACTCACTGGCTTTCCAATCTTGTTAACGATTCGGCATGCTAATTAAATTCCTGCCAAAGCTGGCAAAGGAAAACAAGTGGCAAAAAGGAAAGGCGGAATTTTCACTTTCTCCATCAGCTTCAAAATTAACACCCGACTCGAATGGCTGAGAGAAAGCCAAAGAGTGAGTTGGAGAGATTCGCTTTCGCCGAACCGTAAATGTTTTCCCCAACATTTTTGGGGGACTTGATCCTGGGAAGGACCAACTTTTGGCCGTGAATTTATGGCCAGTGGTGGATCTGGAGGGGATGATGCAGTTGCTCTCTTATCTGCCTGAAATATTAACGGTTTAGGCTTAATTACAAATGGCGACGCTGCCGGGCTCCCAAAATTAACTGCGACTTTTCCAAGGGGTAATGGGAATGGGATTCTCGTGAAAATGAGGGCCCAGAGCGAGCACCATTAGGGTAATTATTTACAACAATTTCAAATTTTACACATGGACGGACCGAAGCACAATAAAATGGCGCCACAAAATGTTTTGCATGCATTTTCCATGTTCAGTTCGGTTCGGTTTTTGGGGGTTCTGTTCGGTTTTTCAAGTGCTGCGGCTCATAAATTACAAAAATGCGGGTTGTAAATCACGAGACTCCGCCTCAAACCAGACCTTGGATCACACCCCTTTTGTCCATGTAAATTTTCAAAATTTTCAACAATTTGCAACACTCTTTATTTGGTTTTTTTGGCGAACACGTGACCGAACTTGGTCGGGGGTAGTGTAAACACAGAGCGAGAACCCTTTGAGGGCTGTGCATAAATTTCAATTAAAATTGAAAAGCCATGAAAAATAAAAAACGCCCCCCCCCCTGGAAAAGCACAGCAGTGATAGCCATGGAAAGTTTTCACAAATGCAGCGGCCGGGGGGCAATTTTAATTGTGGACAGCCGACAGGAGCAGATGCAGGCATGCATGAAAGTGGCTCAGAGCCACCAGTTTTTCAATTAAAACTCGAAAATATTTCCAATAATTGCCGAATAAGTGAAACTTTGTCAAGGACCCCAACCCCAGGGGATCACAAAAAAAATAAAAGGGTTAACATGCTTTCAAGGAATGCCACGATTTTGGAGAGAGAATCATCAACTGTCGATAGTGGAGACTGAAAATGATTAAGAAACAA